ACCCTCACTGGGAGAAAAAATTCACAAATCACAGAACGTATTGCAAAGAGGAACTTTTTCAGAAGTAATTAGGTGCCAACTCCTCTCTAACCGCCAAGACAGTGGAGTTCTGACCTACTCTGTTTTCCTTCTGATGATTAAGGTCTGCCCTGTGCTGGGTCAGCCACAGCCCTGAGGATCGCTAGAGCGGAGCATGTAAGCCTGAGGGGACAGAGGAAGGATGCACTTAGTATCAGGCCCATGTTAATCACAGCAGCTCACTGTACTCACAGGGTGGAGAGGTGAGACATATTACTGAAGGTGTAGTTGGTCAGCACGCCAATGCTGTTGTTGCTCAGGTCACTAGGAAAAGCAAGCAGAAGGGTCACATTGTACTGTTAGCTGCATCCAGCGGGGGTCATTCCCAAGTTTCACACATGCATGCATGCCTGCTATCCATCCATCCACCCACCCATCCGTCTGCCCGCCTGCCCACCCATCCATGCATCCATTCATCCATCCACCCATCCACCTGTCCATATGTGCGTCCACCCATCTGCCCGTTCATCTATCCATCTGTCCGTCTTCCCATTCATCTGCCCATCTGTCCATCTGTCCATCTACCCATCCATTTGTCCACCCACTTATCTTCCCATCCATCCATCCACTTATCTTTCCATCCATCCATCCACCCATCCATCCATCCAACCATCTGTCCATCCGCCCATCCATCTGTCCATCCACTTATCTTCCCATCCATCCATCCATCTATCCATCCACCCATCCACCCATCTGTCCATCTGTCCATCCACCCACCTGCCCATTCATTCGTCCACCCACCCATCCATCCATCCACTGGTCTGTCTTTCCATACACCTATCTGCCTATCTGCCCATCCATCCATTCACCCACCCCCCCCCACCTTCCCATCCATCCATCCATCCATCCATCCATCCACCCCCTCCACCCACCTTCCCATCCATCCATCCATCCATCCACCCATCCAACCATCTGTCCATCCGCCCATCCATCTGTCCATCCACTGATCTTCCCATCCATCCATCCATCCATCCATCCATCCATCCATCCATCCATCCATCCATCCATCCACCCATCCGCCCATCCGCCCATCTGTCTATTCACCCGTCTGCCCATTCATCTATATATACATCCATCTGTCCACCCAGCCATCTGTCTGCCCATCCATCCACCCATCCACTCATCCTCCCCATATGTCCATCAGCCCACCATCCATCTGTCCATCCACCCATCTATCATCCATCCACCCATCCGCCCATCTATTCTCCCATCTGCCCATTCATCTATACATACATCCATCTGTCCACCCAGCCATCTGTCTGCCCATCCACCCACCCATCCACTCATCCTCCCCATATGTCCATCAGCCCACCATCCATCTGTCCATCCACCCATCTATCATCCATCCATCCATCTGTCCATCTGCCACCCATCTGTCCATCTGTTGGCCCAGCTGTCCATCCATCCATCTATCCACCCATCCATCTATTCACCTATCCACCCATTAGTCCAAATGTTCATTTTTTTTTACTGAAGATTTATTCAATCAGTCATTCCACCAATTGTCGTTCATTCATTCAGCTAGCTATTCAAACATTCAGTGGTGTCTAGCCATCGATTTGATTCTACCAGTAAAACATAACACATAAGGTAGCAATTTCTCCTTGTTGTAGTGCTTTTTCCCCCTGATCAATTCTTCTCCTCATAGCCCCTCCACCGGCCCTCTCTTCCAGCATTCATTTATCCCATCTAATCAGATCCTCTCTTGGGGGAATGAGGTTGGTGGGAGTGTGGTCCTTTGCCAACTGCAAGCTCCAGCTTCTCCCCGGGGATAAACATCCAGAGCAGTGTTTTTCAGCATCAGCTGTACATTAGCATCATCTGGGGAGCTTTAGTTCTCCGAGGCCTAGGTTTCAGGCCCAGATATTCCGATTTTACTGGTGTAAGGCAGGCTTGAGCATCAGTATTTAAAAGAAACCCCAAACTACTGTGATATATAATCAGCTGAGGTTGAGGGCCACTGCTCTGGGGCTCCCTGCCCCCTACGCAGATGGGGCACCTTTCAACAGCACTTGCCCAAGGATCCTGGGTGCCCTCTTGGCAAGGCAGTGAGGGACGAAGCTCAGGGACTCCCCAGCTTCCTGGGCCCTGCCCATGCCCAGCAGCCCTGCTCCTCATTCAGAGGTTTTCCTGGGTTTTGGCCAACCTGGAGCCAGGAGCGGCTCCCACCTGAAAGAACCTCAATTTGAACCAGCTGCTTAGAACATTTTCTAAGTAACTAAAGGAGGAGGAAGAAGAAATGCCAAATTTATGCTTTTGGCAAAAAACCTAAGCGCAGCCACAGCTTGCAAGAAACTGAGGGATCTCGGGAATTTAATTGGGAGACCAGAAGGTCAGAGGCTCCAAGCCAAGGAGGAAGGTGCCACAGGTGGCCAATGAGGCCTGGATCTGGGTACTTCTGCATGAAGTCCTCACTGGGTAAGACCTGGCACATCCGGCCAGCCCATCCTTCCCAGCTGCCTCTTGCCGCTCCACCCAGGGGGAAAAGTGCAGGAATG